AGTAGAATAAAAATAATAAGATAATCTATTTGTAAAATAAAAATTAAAAAAATTAAAAATAGATATAAAAAATGAAAAAAGCGTTATAAGACAAGGCTGTATCTTCTCACCTGATTAAAAATAATAGTAGACTAAAAATAATAAAATAATCCATATATAAAATAAAAATTTTAAAATAAAAATGTATAAAAAAAATTAATAATTAAATTAAAAAATAAAATGGATAAAAAAATAAATAATTAAATTAAAAATAAAAAGAAATAAAAAAATAAAAAAAAAGGTCGAAAGACAAGGATGTATCTTCTCATCGGATTAAAAATAATAGTAGAATAAAAATAATACAATAATCTGTATATAAAATTAAAATTATAAAAATAAAAATAGATATAAAAAAAGGGAAAAAAAGGTCGTAAGACAAAAAATCACCGGACAAAAAATAATAAAATAGTAAATATATAAAATAAAAATTTTAAAATATAAATGGATAAAAAAATTAATAATTAAATTAAAAAATAAAATGGATAAAAAAATAAATAATTAAATTAAAAATAAAAAGAAATAAAAAAAAATTAAAAAATGGTCGTAAGACAAGGATGTATCTTCTCACCGGACAAAAAATAATAAAATAATACATATATAAAATAAAAATTATAAGAATAAAAACAGATAAAAGAACTAAATAAATAAATAAAAATAAATAAAAAAAGGTCGTACGACAAGGACGTATCTTTGCACCAGATTAAAAAATAATAGTAGAATAGAAAATAATAAGATAATCTATATGTAAAATGAAAATTAAAAAAATAAAAATAGATATAAAAAAAAAGGAAAAGGGGTCGTAAAATAAGGATGTGTCTTCTCACCAGATAAAAAATAATAGAAGAATAAAAATTATACAATAATCTCTTTATAAAATAATATTTATAAAAAAAAATATAGATAAAAAAATAAAATAAAATAAATAAATAAATTAAAAAAAAGGGGCGTAAGAGAAAGATTTATCTTCTCACCGGACTAAGAATAATAAAAGAATAAAAATAACAAAGTAATCCATATATAAAATGAAAATAATAAAAATAAAAATATATAAAGTAACTATTACTTACCATCTCCTGAAGAAGTGCAGTCAAAGTATTGAAACATGAAAGCTTTTGTGTAACGATTTAAAAATGTTTTTTATTATAATCTCTTATAATAAAAATATAATAATAATACATTGCTTAAATTTTGTATTGAGCACTCACTAATATACATACATACATACATACATATATATATATATATATATATATATATATGTATGTATATTAGTGAGTGCTCAATACAATATATATATATATATATATATATATATATATATATATATATATATATATATATATATATATATATTAGCAGTGCTTTAACAGAAGACGGAAAATGCGGTACCGACATCCGTAGTGGCATGAGCGAAAGATGCCTTCCGAAAGTTAAGTAAAGTTTTAAGAAGCAGGAAGAATCTGTTAGAAACAAAGAAAAGGGTGATGAACTTGCAATGTAATATCGGTCTTCCTCTATGGCGGTGGATGCTGGACAATCTTCTCACAGATGAAGAAGAGACTTCAAGCCATAGAAATGTGGGTCTACAGAAGGAAGCTGAGAATACCCTGGATTAAACACGTTAGCAAAGACGAAGTTTTAGATAAAATAGATTTAAAAAAAAAAAAAAAGGAAAATCAGAAAGAGGCAGCTAAAATTTCCTGGGTACATAATAAGGAAAGAGGGCTTGGAGAATTTGACACTCACAAGGACATATTGAAGACAGGAGGGGGAAATGAAAAACAGCGCAAAACCCTGCCTAATGAGGTTATATAAATACATGACAGAATAGGGATTAGGAAGCATAGCAAGAAAGACAAACGTTATTATGAACAAATGATAGGAAGTTGTGGAGAGCCGTAGTTGTACAAGTCCTGAAGGGACAAGGCACATAGATGAAAAAGAAAAAGACTGCAATCTGCCAATTCACACTACTTTTCTACAATTATGATCAGATAGAGCGAGTCGTCAATGGATTTATTAATTCTTTGCACGAGGAATTTCTTTAGAAATGTAACGAACTCCACTGGAATTCGAACTCGGCACTCCGTGTTCTCAATCTCAGCCGCTATGCATTACATCACCGCGCATCCACGTATAGCATTACATAAGATATTAATAAAAAAAAAACGAAAATAGATTTGATATTTCATTGTTTTATAATCAATTCACCCCAAACAAGGTGACCGTGCCACTAACACGCAAGTGATTACTGAAAGACAAAGGGAATAAGAAAACTTTAAAAAGAACCGGAAACCAGTCTTAAACAGGAAAAAAGGGATAGATATCTACTTCTGTTCAAAAGACCTGGGTGGAGTGTGAACCGGGCGGTAGGTGAACCTATATAAGCCTACTGAGAAAAAGAAAAAGAAAAAAAATAAACAAATATTAAATACAATTTAAGAGTTTAAGTGGAGACGTTACAAATACAGAACTGATGTAGGATTTAGAAGGAACCGGAAACTCAATCCTAAAAATGAAAAAAAGCGATAAACATCTACGGCTGTTCAAAGACTGGGGAGGAGTGTGAACCGGATGAATCACAAAAAAGTTAAATCATTAAAGCCATGGAAGAAAGAACCGATAGACCATGTCCTAATCATGGAACACAGGATAAACCTCTACTCCTGTTCAAAAATCGGAGGGGGAAAATATTATTAGAAAATCCATATTGTTGGTCGAGTGGCCATTTGCAATTCCCTCGTCACAGTAGATAACCATAAACCTAACTATGTCTTACACAAGGCTGCAAGAATGGAGCACCAAGTAAGAAACAATCTCATTACACCTAGTCTTCTAAATCCATCCACATTTGTTGTCTCTCAAAACACGATGGTTAACGAGCAAGTCTTGTTAAGCATCGTGTTTTGACAGAAAAAAACTACGCGAACGCTTGCTATTATTGCTATGAATGTGGATGTGGATGCGTGTGATTAAACGTTGGCGCATGCGCAGTGTGTTATTTACTCGCCAGATCATCAATATCTCTCTTTTACAAGTGTACCTGCTGAACTCCAACCAGCGTATCATGTCGATTCGCAAGGCCGGCGTCGGTCACTATCAAAGGAAAGCTTGAATCATGGCGGACCAAAAGGGCTGGCACTAGTGAGTTAAAATGGAACTGAAAGCTGGGTGGTGAGATGGGCGTGTCCGTGGATGAGGAGGGTCTAGGTAAGAGGCTGGGTACCTTAATTGAATGATGAAGTGATGGAGATTTAAGAGCCAAAGTGTCAATAAAACGCAAAACAAGAGAATTATATTCTATATTTGTCCCGACGCTGGTAAAATAATAATAATAATAATAATAATAATAATAATAATAATAATAATAACACTTCGCGGATCGCTTATCAATCGTATTAAACCATCCAAGCGAATCGTTGGCTAACAAAATTCTTTGCTTGTCTGCCGGAACACTCACTCCACCAACTTCCCGACGTCGACCCAGTATAATCTACCCGATTCTCAGAACCTGCCAATCAGTTTATTTGTCTGATTGTTTGTTTTTCCATTTTTTTTTCTTTTTCTCAATTCATTCTATTTATTTGCTTTTTTCAGACATTTTTTTTTTGCTATGAATTTTATTTATTTATTTACTTTTCTCGTTCTCTTCTGTTCTCGTTTGAATATTTTACGTAATCATTTTTTTTTCTTCATTGAAAACTCATCTCTATTTTTGCACCCTCTTCTCTCGGCTTTCTTTCTTTCTCGTTCTCCTCTCTCAATCACATCTTTCTTTCCTTTCTCTTTTATTCTTTCTTCCTTTCAAATCATTTCACCGCCTCCTTCCTCTATATTTCCTCTACCTTTTTTTTCTCTTTCCTTATTTAAAACTCATATCTCTTTCTCCCCCTTTCCTTTCATTTACTTCCTTTCACGTTTTCCTCTTTCAATTACTTTTCTCTTTTTTCCATTTCTCTTCCGTCATCTTGTCTTCCTTGATTTCTCTCTACCGTTAATTAAAATTTTTCTTTCTTCCTTCTTTTTCTCACTTCTCTTTTTCTCCTTCATTCTCTAACCCAACCGATTTTGGGCCATGTCCCATTTTGGTATTTCTAAAATTCTTGTGCCAACCTGTGATATTTAACTCTTACATATTCAAATTCTTACTGCAATTCACGTGAAGCAAGCTTAAAAGGCCATTAACTTGGTCTCTAAACAAGCCTCCAAAGACCATGGAGTCCATGAAAGTGAAAAATTAAAAACAAAAAAAATATATATATATATATATATATATATATATATATATATATATATATATATATATATATATATAAATGTCTGTAAAAAGCAAACAAATAGAATGAATTGAGGAAAAGAAAAAAAAGGAAAAACAAACAAACATATAATAAAGAATATGGAAGGTAGAAATATAAAATATTTGAATGAATGTTTATTCTATATTATACTTTGATTATTTTAATCATGAAATAATAATGCAAAATGAAATTTGAGCTCACGTTGGTATAGTAAGCCGAAGGGTGCACATAACCCACAAAAGTATTACCATGTCCTACTGGTGGGGAATCATTGGTCAAACCTAACTAATTTTCTTTTTAACTTTCTTTCTTTCTTTCTGTCTGTCTGTCTATGAGTTGAAGTCAAATACAGATAAAATATGGATCGGAATGCGAGAGAATGATATGATAAAGAACAAGTAGGAAACGTTTATCAATTTTAACATGTTTCACTTTTATTAAAGCTTCGTCAAAGAATACATATGGAATCCGTTAATTTTTGTAACTTCCCCTCTCCTTAAATACGTAACACCACAAATTATATTAACGATGATTTAGAGGCGAATGAACATGAAACATGACAGACACATGAAAATCAAACAACACAAAAGTAAAAATACCAGAATTTATTTCTTCTTTTTCTCCATATCTCATTCTCTGATGAAGTTTTAATAAAAGTGAAACATGTTAGATAAGCGTTTCCTATTTTTTATCTATCTATCAATCTATCTATCTATCTCAATCTGCTTATATCGATCTATCTATCTCAGTTTGCTCATTATCTATCTCAGTCTGTTCATATCTATTTATCTATCTCAGCCTCTTCATTATCTATCTATCTATCTATCTATCTATCTATCTATCTATCTATCTATCTATCTCAGTCTTCTCATAGATATCTATTTATCTATCTCAGTTTGCTGATTATCTATCTCTCTCTCTCTCTCTCTCTATATATATATATATATATATATATATATATATATGACAAACTGGAAAAGTTTTTGTGACTCGTTTCATCCGTTAGGACTTTATCGGACTGGGCTTTGTTGAGGTTGCCACGTCTACACATGCGCACGAAACGAGAGATGCAGGTAGTTTCAAAATCTTTTGAAAGAATATTTTTAAAGAGGATTTTTTTCAATCTAGCCGAAATCAATCTGTATTCTTTTTCGTTTTCTCTCCATCACCTTTGTCCCTGACTATCCCATAATGTGACAGCATAAAATCTACCAAGACTGGTGCTATATTGTAAGAGCCAGGACACAAATTTATTGTGGCTGAACTAGCGATCAAGTCACTTTCCAGACATTTTCGTCCCAGTGGATTATTTTCTCTTTTAATCAAAGCAGCATTCTCTATGTCAAAGTTGTGGTCTGTTACGGTGAACAACCAATGCGTTTTGTGTGTTGTTATTCAAAATGTCCCTTTTGTGTTCATATAGTCTCTTGTTTAAACTTCTTGGGATTTCTCCACTGTGTTCATTCAGACAATTCCTGCATTTGATAGAGTAAATTCTTCCTTCAAGATTTGGCTGATTGCTTTATTTTTTATTGATGAAGTCTTTGATTGTTTTAGATGTAGTTGTGATAAAGTTTATGTTGTGTCTAGATTGTAGTTGTGATAGAGTTAATGGGTAGAATAATATACTTTTTTGATTCGTTGGGTTTGTCAGGAAGGACAGCTCTTCTATTTTGGAATATTTTACGAGCCTTTTGTTTCGCAATAAATATGAAATAGTTAGGTATTGAAGGGTCTCGAATGTATTTTCAATATAATTCTCCTCTTCGTGTAAATATTAAGGGCTGCAAATTCTGAGTGCTCTTAAATAGAATCGAGTGATCATTCCGGGTTTTATTTCGTTGTTATAATGAGAGTACAAGTTTATGAAGTCATTTTTATTGGTTGATTTTCAGTGGACACTAAGTTCTAGGCAGTTGTCAACTCGGTGTAACATGATGTCTAAGAAAGCTAAGGTATTGTTTTTTTTTATATTTCGTATATGAATTCCATTGTGTGTTCAGTTTTGTTTAGCTTATATACAAGAGCTGGTAAGTTAGTATCACGGGGATATATTAATAGAGCATCATCAATTGTATCGGTAGTAATGTGATTGTTTAGGTAAAATGTTTTGGAAAGAAGTAGTCTCGAGAAATTCAAATAAAAAATACATGCCATTACTCCACTGAGAGGTGATCCCATCGGTAATCCAAATTTTTGTTTGTAAAAATTGTTATTGAAAGTGAAATAACATTGATTAATGATGATACGGCAGATTTTTATTATTTTAGTTATTGGTAGGGAGATGTTTATCTTTGATTGTGTTATATGCTTTTTAAAAAAAAAAAGATTTAAGCATTTTTAATTGGATTATTAGCGTAAAGTGATTTTATATCTAGACTGGCCATGAGTTGGTCAGTCATATTTATTTCCCTTCGTTTTTCAACAAGGTTGTCTGAATTTTTTTAATATGGGATGGATTCCAAGGAGAGGGGTTAAATATTTTTGCTATGTCTAGCTGTTTGGTGGGTTGGGGCGCTGCCTATTCCAGAAAGCCCAGTCCGATGAAATCCCGACGGATGAAACGCGTCACAAAAAACCCTTCCAGTTTGTTGATATATAAAGTTATACAAAATTATATATCTATCTATCTATCTATCTATCTATCTATCTATCTATCTATTTCAGTCTGCTCATTATCTACCTCAGTCTACTCATATCTATCTATCTATCTATCTATCTATCTATCTATCTATCTATCTATCTCAGTCTACTAATATCTATCTATCTATCTATCTATCTATCTATCTATCTCAATTTTCTCATTATCTATCTATCTGTCTGTCTGCTCATTATCTATCTCAGAGTACTCACATCTATCTATCTATCTATCTCAGTCTACTAATATCTATCTATACATCTATCTCAGTTTGCTTATTATCTATCTATCTATCTCAGTCTGCTCAATATCTATCTCAGTCTACTCATATCTATATATCTATCTATCTATCTATGTGTGTGTGTGTGTGTGTGTGCGTGCAAAATAAGAAGTGGATTTTAAATACTGAATACAATATACACCTTAAAAAGGTAGAAGAATATGTCGGCTAAAATATTTTACTAAAACAATAAACACGAATGCAATCATCTGAAAAATCAAAAAACGGATATGCAATGTGATAGGTACTGATCTGATATCTCGTCTCTAGTCACTTTCTCACAGAAATGATGTGGCTTCCCTCTGTCTTTTCTACAAATAATTTCATGGCAACTGCTCTGGCGAGCTATTTTCACTGGTACCCCAACTACGTGAATTTAAGCGTACTACTAGGTTGGCATCTCAGTCCCACCATCTTACTGACGAAACAGTTAAATGTAACCGCCTCTTCTACTCCAACAGCTTCTTCTCTCGCACTTTCTGACAGTGGAACTCCTTTCCTCTTAGTTGCTTCCCTGATAACTATAATCTTCAAATATTCAAATGTAATATCAACCGACATCTTCTGATGCCTTGATCTTGATCCCCGTCCTTCTCTTTATCCTTTCCTCAAACACCCCCTCTTTACTCTTGCAACCTAATGTATGCTAGTGGCACTTCCCCCTTGCTTGGGGTGATTTTTTTCTAAGTGTTTCACCCCAAGCAAGACGGGAAGCCACTAGCACACAAGAATTGGAGTGGGACCAAATAGGAGTGATAGAGGAAAGGAGGAAGAGAAGGATAGGGGATAGATCAAGGCATCTGGAGACGTCGATTGACATTACATTTGAATAGTTGGAGATTATAGCTATCAGGAAAACAGGAAAAGAGGAGGGAGTTCCACAGGCGAGAGGTGTGAAAAGCTATTGGAGTAGAAGAGACGGCTACATTTAACAGTTTCGACAGTGAAACGGTGTGAGCGAGATGCCAGCCTAGTAGAACGCTTAAATTCATGAAGTCTGGGAACCAGCGAAAGCAGCTCATTGGAGCAGTTACGATGAAAGTATTTGTAAAAAAAGACAGAGAGAGGCGACGGCGCGTCTGTGAGAAAGCGACTGCAGACGAGATGCCAGATCAGGGCCAATTACATTGCATATCCGTCTCTGGAGCTTATCAAGAACCCCGAGGCAAACAGAAGCGGCTCCAGACCATATATGGCAGCAATACTCCATGCAAGGGCGAATGGTTGATTTGTAGATTTGAAGGATAAAAAAATAGATGGAATAAAATTAAATTTCTTCATCTTAGAATTTCACGCAATACAAGAAGACTGAAGAACATATCGGCCTGAACGCTGTGTCAAAGGCCGAAATAAGGAGAATATTCCAGAAGAGACCTCATCAAAGAACTTGGCAAGATAATTAGAAAAAAAACTTCAATTTCGTTTGCTTAATATCCAGAAATTAGTAATGAGAAAGTATAATTTGTCTTTTGGAAATGGAAAAATGGTTTCGGGAAGACAAAGATGCCGATAAGATACGTTTTCTCCTGGACTCAAGAAGGTTCTGCCAAGCGAGGAATATGATAATGACCAGCTTCGCACTCAACGACCGCTTGGAATGCACTCAGTTACCCCCCTTGCGTCATCAAACATCAAGAAGATTTAGAAAGATTTCCATGGGAATCAGTAAGAGTTGGGGTTGGAGTGAATCCCGTATCGATTAAGAAAAGACATTATACAGATGTTAAGCATTTATCTTCAACCATTTCTTTTCTTTCTTTTGTTATTTTTCTTTATTTTCTTTTGGTTTGTTTGTTTTTGGGGGGGTTTTTGTTGTTTTTTTCTTTTCCTCATTTTTGTCTTTCCCCTCTTCCTTCCATTATTAAAATCTTTTTTTTTCTTTTCCAACTCTTTGCCTAACCGGATACTTTCCGTTTGTTTGTTTCTTTCCTTTTTTCATTCATTCTTTCTTTCTTTTCACCTTTCTTTCTTGTTTTCTTTCTATCTTTCATCATTTCTTTCTTTCTTTCTTTATTATTTACCGCCTTTCTTTCATTCTTTCATAGTCTTTCTTTTTATCCCTTTTCTTTCTTAAGTTTGTTTCTCTTCTTTCTTTCTTTCTTTCTTTCTTTCTTTCTTTCCCTTTTTCTTTATGTTCTTTCCTTCTTTCTCTTTTTATTTCTTTCTTGTTTACCTCTTTTTTCATTCTTTCATAGTCTTTTTCTTTATCCTTTTTTTCTTACTTTCGTTTCTCTTCTTTTTTCTTTCTTCTTTCTTAATTCCATTCTTTCTTTCCATTTTTCATTCCTTTCTTTCCCTCTTTCTCTCTTGTTTACCCCCTTTCCTTCATTCTTTAATAGTCTTTTTCTTTGTTTCTTTCTTTCTTTTGTCCTTGCATGATTGCTTCTGCAGTTTTTTCTTTCTTAACTTCGTTTCTTTTCTTACTTAATTACATTCATTCTTTATTTATTTATTTATTTATTTTCCTCTTTATTTCTTTCTTTCTTCTTTACCTCCTTTCTTTCATTATTTTATAGTCTTTTTCTTTCTTTCTTTCTTTCTTTCTTTCTTTCTTTCTTTCTATGGCATGCTAGCTTTTGCATTTATCCCTTTTCTTCGTTTCTTTTCTATCTTTTTCTTTCTTTTTTCTGCCGATCTGTCGACATTTTTGTTATTCGGTCTCTAGAGAGAGACTTAGCTGATTTATCGCTCGAACATTGTTTAAACACATACATACATACATATATGTGTATATATATATATATATATATATATATATATATATATATATATATATATATATATATAAAAACCAAAAGTTATGGGTTAGTAGTATATAAAGGTAAAGGTAGGTAACCTCACACCAATATCTATCAATTATGCTCTGGCATCCCATAAGTCAGTGTGAACAAAAGTAGGGTAGGTTGCTCATGACAAGGCAACGTTTATTATAGGAGTTTCGATGGAGTATGATTGTAGGTGGATATAAGATACCATTATTCCTGAAATCATGGCGACGACGATGTCATGCATGCACCGTGAATACCTGATGGAAACGATGTCACCCACCATATTTCGGGCAGTGGCCGACCACGTGTTCTTAATGCACATGACAAAAGTAAGAAGAGAAGGAAAAACGTATAGAATGATTAAAGAAAAGAAAGAAAGAAAGAAAGAAAGAAAGAAAGAAAGAATTATATGAAATAGAAACAATGAAAGAATTTGAATGCAAACAGTAAGAAAGAAAATCTTATATGAAATGGAAAGAAAGAAGAAAGAAATAAAGTCTACTATAAAATGCAACGAAAGAAATCCTAATAAGAAAGAAAGATAGAAATCCTAATAAGAAAAAGAAAGAAAGAGATCCTAATAAAAAAGAAAGAAATCTTACTAAGAAAAAAAAAGAAAGAGATATATATCAGAAAGAAAAAATTCTTAATCAGAAAAAGAAAGATGTCCTAATGAGAAAGAAATCTTAATAAACAAACAAAAGAAATCCTAATAAAACGAAAGAAAATTATCCTAATTAGAAAGAAAGGAATCCTAATAAAAAAAAAGAAATCCTAGTAAGAAAGAAATCCTAATAAGAAAGAAATCTTAATAAGAAAAAGAAAGATATCCTAATAAAAATTAAAGAAATCCTAATACGAAAAAAAGAGATCCTAATAAGAAAAAAAGAAATCTTAATAAGAAAGAAATAAGAAATCCTAAGAAAAAAGAATGAGATCCTAATGAGAAAAATATTCTGAGAGAGGAAGAAATCTTACTAAGAAAAAGAAAGAAAGAGATCATGATGAGAAAGAAAGAAATCCTAATAAGAAAAAGAAAGATAGATATCTTAATGAGAAAGAAATGTTAATAAGAAAACAAAAGAAAGAAATTCTAATAAAAAAGGAAGAATGAGAGAAATCCTAATAAGAAAAAGAAAGAAAGAAAGAAATCTTAATAAGAAAATAAGAAAGCGATCCTAATAAGAAAGAAATCTTAATAAGAAAAAGAAAGAAAGATATCCTAATAAAAAAGAAAGAAATCCTAATAAGAAAAAGAAAGAAATCCTAATAAGAAAAAGAAAGAGATCCTAATAAGAAAGAAAGAAATCCTAATAAGAAAACAAAAGAAAGAAATCGTAATAAGAAAAAGAAAGAAAGCTATCCTAATAAGAAAGAAAAATGAAAGAATTAAAGAAATCCTAATAAGAACAAAGCAGCAAGACTTGATGAAATCGCAATGGAGAATCGTGCAGCTTTAGATAATTTTGCCATTGACTAAATTACAAATAAAATAAAAGAAATATTCGGCAGTAGTGATATACCAGAAGACCTAAATAGATCCATTTTAATAGCGCTGTCTATGAAACTATGTGCAAACGAATGTGAACTCCATCTTACATCTTACACTCTGCCTAATGAACCATATAACAAAAAATATCATCCAAATTTTGATGAATAGAGTACACGGCAGTATTAGACCGAAAATAGGACAAGAACAGTGCAGATTTGTTAAAGATACTGTAACATTTATGTGATATTTATTCTCAGAATGATATCAGAAATAACAATACAAATGCAAAAGAATATATATCTATGTTTTATAGATTATATATATATATATAACAATACGATTTCACACATCCTTAGGAGATTAGTACATAAATTCCTTTTCCTTTCAAGTCCCCGTAATTATCTGAATTTTTTCGGAAATTCGTCTCCAGTTCATCTTTGAGTCAACTTAAGTGTCAGAGTTTTCTGGAATTCTGTCTCCAGCCGCCTTTGAATTGGCAAACATAAAATTTTGTCAATGCTTTTAGATAATCATAAAAGTAGTCCCTTGAAGAAGCTGAACACCCCAAAAGCCGAATGGATCGTCTGTTGTGGCGAATAAGGGTGGTACGACCTCATTCAGTATACATATAAGTAGAGAGAGGTGGGAAGTCAGTAAGTAGGCGACCAGTAAACGAGTAAGTGACCAGCGGCCAGTGAGAAAGGGACCGGAAGTCAAAGAAGAGGAAGGGACCAGCGAACAGTGGGAAATGAGCAGTCGCCTAGACGGTCAGTTAATGTAAGGGTTCTCTTCCCGTGGCCGAAACTTGGGGCGATAGCAGTTTAGCCGAAGGAAAATATAGACGGCTAAGTGAGAATTCGTATTGTTGCTATTTCCCAACCAGAGTCTCTTGAAAAGCATTTGTCGTTATTTTTTGTTGAACGCGATTACGGCTAAGGAGACAAATCTATGAACATAACGAGTCGGATGTATATGCAGACACAGCTGGCCTTGGATGTCATCACAGGTGCAGTGGACGACGGACGATCAGAGCACGTTGTCACATGTAAAAACGTTTGATAAAATACGTCACAAATACATGTTGGAACTGCAAGATAGGCTTGATATTAGAATAATCCAGGCTGCGAATAGAAAATGAATTCAGTAAATATACAAAAATGGAAAGGGTCGTAAGACAACGATGTGTCTTCTCACCGGACTTATTCAACCTTTACAGTGAATCAACCCTGAAAGAATTAAAAATCATACCACAATCTTAACAGCATAAAATATGCAAATGACACATTATCTATAGCAACTGCGAAAAGAAAACTACATGATCTCCTACAGCAGGCAAGTAAGGGAAAGCGTGAAGAAAGGACTACGCATCAATCGTAAAAAGACAGGATGTACAGTTGTCAGCAAGATGAACAGATCAAAAAGAGAACGACAGATTGGAGACACCAACTGATGCAAGTACTAAAATTTAAATCATAATTAATTCACCAAGTCTAGACGAATCCTTAACAGAATGTAGAAAGCACTGGACGACCTTTTTCGTCCTATTTTGGGACTCATCAACAGTGTGCATCCACTACCGAGAATCGAACCCGGACCGTTAGCATACGACACAAGCGTCATACAACGTGTGTCGGTGACGAAGAGGTAACAAACTAGACTCGATATAGCGCCGCTCTTCACAACTTACGTCGTGTAACTCATCCTTAGCCCAACGGACTGTGGCCCCACGAGTCACGTCTTCTATTCCCAAGCCGCTCCATCCAGAGCATTAGAAGATGGTTTAAGCAAGGATATACAAGTGAGGGGGGTTGAATAATCATAATTAAGTAATTCATCGAGTCTAGAAGAATCCTCAACAGAATGCAGGACCACCGTTTCGCCTTATTTTGGGACTCATCAGCAGTGCGCATCCACCAACCGTTACCATGCGACACAAGCGTCATACCCACTGGACCAACGTGTCTCGGTGACGAAGAAGTAACAAACTAGACTCGATATAGCGCCGCTCTTCACAAATTCTGTCGTATAACTCATCCAAGTTTACTTAGCCCAACGGACCGTGCCCCACGAATATATATATATATATATATATATATATTAATTGGATTTAAATAATCATAATTATGATAAATTATTCATAATCAATCATAATTATGATTATTCAACTCAAACTAATTAAGTAATTTATCGAGTCTAGAAGAATCCTCAACAGAATGCAGGACCACCGTTTCGCCTTATTTTGGGACTCATCAGCAGTGCGCATCCACCAACCGTTACCATGCGACACAAGCGTCATACCCACTGGACCAACGTGTCTCGGTGACGAAGAAGTAACAAACTAGACTCGATATAGCGCCGCTCTTCACAAATTCTGTCGTATAACTCATCCAAGTTTACTTAGCCCAACGGACCGTGCCCCACGAATATATATATATATATTAATTGGATTTAAATAATCATAATTATGATAAATTATTCATAATCAATCATAATTATGATTATTCAACTCAAACTAATTAAGTAATTTATCGAGTCTAGAAGAATCTTCAACAGAATGCAGAAGGCACTGGATGTCCTTTTCGTCTTATTTTGCGACTCATCAACGCATCCACTACCGAGAATCGAAACCGGACCGTTACGATATAACGCAAGCGCCATACTGTTGTGGATTCCGTGAATGGAATCCTGCACAAATAAATAAACAACGCCAGTAATTGAGATATAAAAATAAGTATATTAAACATATGAATACAGACTTGAAGTGAAGATTAGTAGTCCAGAAATGAGGCTTACTAGAAAGTATATGTACAAATCTCTGTAAGTAAAGTCGTAATCTCTCTCTCTCTCTCTCTCTCTCTCTCTCTCTCTCTCTCTCTCTCTCTCTCTCTCTCTCTCTGGACTCTTGTATAACTCTCTGAGAACACCCCGTGTCTGTCTCCGTATCTTTCAACCTGTCTCAACATATCTCAACGTATCTCCACGTATCTCAACGTATCTCAACAGCAGCTATTCTCTCTGTCAGTATAAGTATTCTTTGGACGAGTCCATCTTATGTAAAAAGGGGAGAGCCCCACAACACATACCCACTAGACCAATGGATCTCGGTGACGAAGAGTTAACAAACTAGACTCGATATAGCGCCGATCTTCACAGATTCGGCCGTGTAACTCATCCAATTTCAAATTTAGATATCTAGTATGAGCTTTAAGAAATGACCGAAAATGCAACACTGAAAGCGTGTCGGATAAGATGTCTTCTCAAAGCTAAGTAATGTATTAAGAAACAGAAAAATAAAACAAAATAAGTCGTTAGAAACAAAGCAAAGAGTGATGGACTGTTATGTAATATCGATCCAGCTATATGGCAGTGAATACTGGACATTTTCCTCATAGGTGAAGAAGCAACTTGAGGCAACAAAAATGTCTTTCCAAGGAAAGATGCTGATAATACCATCGACTGAACATGTGCGTAACGACAATTTTTTAGAGAAAATAGGAACAAAAAGGATACTTACACGGAGCATCAGAAAGAGGTAGTTGACATTTCTTAGCCACATAATAAGGATAGACGGTTTAGAAAATTTGACACTCACAGGGCATAGAGAAGGCAAACGGGACAGATGAAAGTAGCACATAACATATCTTACGAGCTTTTGTAAATGGATGGCAAAACAGGAATTAGAAAAGATAGTGAAAAGACAAAAAAGAGCTACAGGAAGCTGTGGAGGGCTATCATTGCCCATGTCCTGAAGGATAGACGAAGGAGCTTTTGTAAATAGCTGGCAGAAAATGAATTAGAAGAGATAGCGAAAAGACAAAATTTACTAAGAGCTACAAAAGACAGGAAGTTATGGAGAGCTACGATCCCCCATGTCCTGAAGGAACGTGGCAAATAGAAGAAAGAGCTTTTGTAAATTGTTGGCAGAACAGGGATTAGGAGAGATAGTAAAAAGAGAAAATTTACTAAGAGCTATAAAAAACAGGAAGTTGCGGAGATGTTAAATAATAGTTTCAGTTTTATTTTTTAGTGGCAGTGTATTTGGCTCAGACCTTCTGAGGCTAACCTTTAAGGTCAGATGATGGACAAAATAGGGATTTCGATTTTGATTGGCTGAGCCGAACGTGGGAATGATAGAAAGATAGAAAGTTATTTTATGGAGTTAAGTTCTACGCATCGAAGAATGCAGTCGTGTTAACATCGTGTGCAGAAACTGCTCCACAGTGGGGTGGGATACTAACACCACGAGCTAGTTAAAAAAAAATGTACACGTCGACGGGTTTAATAAAATAGATAAGTTTCAAATCCCTTTTGTTGAAGTTCACATTTTACTATCGAACAAACCAACTAAGCAATTACCGGGACGAGAGAAGAAAAAGAGGAAGGCAGCTTTATTATGATCGCCTCAAGACCGTCAACGAAGAGAACCCAGAAGAGGAGGAAGCATATAACAGAGAGCCATTATCACCACGCCCTGTAGAGACGCGGCGTATAGAGGAAGAAGGATATATTAATTCTGAATGAGTGCGAAAACGATAAACCAAATGCAATGTAGTAAAAAAAAATAGAATAACTGATTAAAGAATTGACGAAAGAGAAACAAAAATGGCGACCAAAATGGAAAAATATCGAAGAAGTGAATGAGAAAGACTTGCAAAGCAACTCAAAGCCTGAATGAAATAATGGAGAATAGAAAAACAAAACTTTAAAGCAAGAACTCTGCAAAGAACAGACGATTATTAGAAATGGCGACGGTGGTCAGATCAAAACGTTCACCGTTCACATGCAAATGCTTTGATCTGTTATGTCGGGTTTTAGATGTGTTCAGCTTGATTGTATAACATGCCGTCTGATCGGCTGTTTAGCGTTGGGACTGACCATTGTGGCAGTGGGACTCCTTCCTATTGCAAAATTCTTTCCAAGTCGACACCATTCTCCCCTGGTCAATACAGATAGCCACACTACTAAAACCTCTCTCACACACTCGCTATCTATCTATCTATCTATCTATCTATCTATCTATCTATCTATCTGATGCAGTCAATTCATATCTATCTATCTGTCTGTCAGTCTGTCTGTCTGACGCAGTCTGTTCATATCTATCTATCTCTCTACCTCTCTATCTGTCTGTCTGTCTGTCTGATGCAGTCAATTCATTATCTATCTATCTATCTATCTATCTATCTATCTATCTATCTATCTGTCTGTCTGTTTGTCTGTGTGTCTGACGCAGTCTATTCATATCTATCTATCTATATATCTGTCCGTCTGTCGCAGTCTATTCATATCTATCTATCTATCTATCTATCTATCTATCTATCTATCTATCTATCTATCTATCTATCTATCACAGTCACTCTAATGTTAAGTACAAGTATCCATTATTTTTCCATTTTCCCTAAAACTTCGTTGTTGCTCACATGTTATTCTCAGTATCCTTCTGTAGAACCACATTTCTGTTGCTTCAATCTCTTCATCATCTATGAAGAAATTGACCAGCAGTCACTGCCATATAGGAGGACTAATATTACATAACTGTTCCTTACTCTTTTCTTTGTTTCACACAAAATTTTCCTGTTTCTTAATATTTTGCTTAGTTTTTGGAAGGCATCTTTCGCTAACCCGTACGCCTCTGGATTTCAGTGTTGCACTTTCTGTTTCATTTCCCAAATATTTGAATTGTTGTACGTGTTTGATTTTGGTATCTCTATGCGACATAAATTTTAATTTAAAATATAAAACTAAAATATATAAGAAAGACAAACGTATAGTTAATTAACAGTTGCAATTAGTTTTCATTACATTAATATGAACTCTTTGACAGTAACAACTATCGTTATCATTTCTTTCTTTCTTCGCTGAGTTTCGCCTCAAATGCTGATAGTTGCCATTATAGATTTTCTAACTTCCCTTTCCACAAACAGTCGGACTTGAAATCCTGACATTTTCAGCAAGAGAATAAAAAAACCAAGATGCGAACGTCGAATTAAAGATGTCAGCATCAAACGCATAAAGATGTTTAAAACATCTGAAACATACATTAACAGAGGTTGGAAAATACGACACCTAAATCCGAAGGTGTTTAGGATTAGCGAAAGGTGCCTTCCAAAAGCTAAGCAAAGTATTAAGAAACAGAAAAATTTCGGTAATATTTAACCTTCGTGTCTGAAAAAAATATTTTTCAAAAGGACGGTTATTCCCTTGTCACCGCTATTACTGTATACCCTTTAGACTCCCTCGGCAATGTTTATTTAAAAGATTATAAAAAGTTGGGAACAAAATACAATGCAATATTTATTATATGAATTTTATTACATATAATATGAATTTATGAATTATTATTATAATTATAAATTATTAAACTATCATTACATTATTATGAACGAAAGTATTATGTAATTATCATTATGAAATGATATATTATCATTATGAATTATGTATAATTTTTAATATATATAATAACATAAATTATCTATATATATAAAACAGAGGATGCCTGTGTGTCTGTCTGTCTGTGTAATACCTTTTCACTCGAGATCCATCCAACTGATTTTGACCAAACTTGGCAATGCATTGTACAATGTAAGAGATACGTTCTTAGCGTAAAAAATCGATTTTTTTTTTTTAAATCAATAATCGATAAAGCTGATCAAAAATCGCTAAATTCAACTTTTTTCCTCCGGTTTCATTCAAACTCGGTATGTAGGTTACTTACATCATGATGAGCTCAGCGATACCTCATTTTTTATTTCTACGCCACTTCGTTTACCGAAAAGCCGCGAAAAACAAAAAATCGATTTCAACACAAATTTTAAACTAAAAACTCCTTCAATTTTCAGGCAATTTAATATAAACTTCACTCAATTTTAGCCAACAATAAGTTGTTTGTTTAACACTCATTTAACTTGATAATTGAGTCCACCCATATAGTGAAAAACCGCGTAAATAGCGAAAAATGGCGATTTTTACTGGTTTCTTTCTTATTTTTCGCTGTTCTTTCAACCAATTTTCATCAAACTTAACAATTGCTTTATAAATGTACCCTTTTTACATCCCTGGTAGCACATTAACAAGTTGAATTTCAAAAACTCCAAAATAATTGTGGTCTGAAGTGGGTCTTCATAATACCTGATTTACCCCTTCATGTCCTCAGCTAACTTCGATTGAATAAATACAGACTACTTCTGTTCTATCAGTAACTGCATTAATTCAAAATAATTTTTGTTTTTTTTATGAAAGTACTTTAAAGTAATTGAAGAAGATAGACCTCGGAGTTCTTGACAAGATCCAGAGACGGATATTTAATATAATTGGCCCTGATCTGCCATCTCGTCTACAGTCACTCTCTCACATACGCGCCGTTGCCTCTCTCTGTCTTTTTACAAATAGTTCCATGGTAATTGCTCCGATGAGCTGCTTTCACTGGTTCCCAGACTCCATGAATTCAAGCGCCCTACGAGGCTGGCATCCCGCTCTCACCCTTTCACTGTAGAAACTTTTAAATGTAGCCGTCTCTTCTACTCCAATAGCTTCATACCTCGCACCTCTTGCCTGTGGAACACCCTTTCCTATTACTGTTTGCTTGAGAGCTATAATCTCCAACTATTCAAATGTAATGTCAATCGACATATCCAGTTACCTTGATCTATCCACTATCCCTTTCCTCATCCTTTCTTCTATCACTCCTATCTGATCTTGCTCCAAATCTTCTGCAACCCCCTGCATCCTCGTGGCTTCACGCCTTGCTCGGGGCGTAATGCTTAAAAAAAACATGACGCCGTTTTTGGTCCATTCTAATTGAACGCTTTTTCTGATCGACCAGCTGACTATGGCTGCTAGTAATTTTATAAAAATATCAATAAACTATAAAAGAAAAAAAACATTTGAATAAATATATGATATTATATAATTTGCCGAGGGAGTCAAAAGTGCCTACAGCAACACCGGTGTCAAGGGAATAAGCGTCTTTTTGACACGCCGCTTCTTTTTTCCTTTTTCTTTCTTTTTTTTTGCGGTCACAAAGGTTAAACATTGCCAAAATGTCTTTATTTATTTAAAACTTCTTGGTTGTCATCTGTAGCATAAATTTATATGCGCGGCGAATATCTCGTTCTTGTTTATTTATATTTTGCGCCAAATTTCCGGAGCTTCCTCGTATCTCTCTACATCGGCAAAATGCTCATCGACACTAGACGAAATATATTTACAAAATCTTTATTAAAACACATTTTGGGGAAAATAGGCTTCTCAAATCTACTAGTGTCGCTCTTTCCAATATATATGTGGGGTTCTTTCCTAACATTTTATTTGAAGTAGTCTGGAATATAAACATCTTTATTTTGGCAATATTTTTCCTTCGAGTTGCACGTGGTATCCAGTTTTTCACGGCTTTTGAAAGTTGTTAAGTGATGTTAATCTAATAATTCTTTCGATACACACACACATACACACATAGACACACACACGCACACACACGCATATATATATGTATTCGTCTCTCCAAAAAGTGTGGCTGGTCCTGCACGAGGCCTTCACCACTATAATCAAATCTCATGTGCCGATGTCGGGATGTCGGTTTCCTGGAAACTTATCGGCCTGACCCTCATACGTCGAACTCGACGGGAGAGTCGATTATATATATATATATATATATATATATATATATATATAAATATATATAAATGGTGGTACTCGCTTGGAAAAACGTTAGATAGTTCGACTTGTAGTAGAACAAACCAGTACCCAAGGAAAAATGAGGAATAAAAAAAGAAAGAACCAAGAACATTAAAACTAAGGCGAAAACAATTGTCCAGAGTTCAAGCTCAAAGTCCAAAGAAAAAAAACAAACTCCAAAACGAGTAAAAGGCAACTGCTTAAAGTGCTCAATACAGGAAGTAGAGCAAAACCTATAATAATCCTAAGGAGCCAGTCAAACCTACCTAGGTTTCACCTAAACGGATCGTCAGGGCAATGCTGGGTCTTCATGTTTACATTGCCCTGACGATCCATTTAGATGAAACCTAGGTAGGTTTGCCTGGCTCCTTAGATTTATTTATATATATATATATATATATATATATATATATATATATATATATATATATATATATATATATATATATATATATATATATATATATATATATATATATATGAGGAACGGCGGAGGCACGGTGTAGTAATGGATAGCGGCTTTGATTGAGGAATCGCAGAGCCGAGTTCGAATTCCCGTCGAATCCATTACATTCACTTACGTGCTAATACCCTTGGGAAAGGTATGAATCCTCTTACTCTCCCTCCAGCTATGGGTAAAATAGCAGGACATACTGGATTCTATAGCCTTGGATGGCAACTGGTCTAGGAGAAGGACAACTCTGAATTCAAAACCTGCGGAGGGTCGTTTGGGAACCTTGTGGCATTCGGTGCACCAGGTCTCTGTATTCGTCCCTTCAAAAAGTGTGGATGGTCCTGCACGAGGCCTTCACCACTATAATCAAATCTCATGTGCCGGTGTCGGGCTGTCGGTTTCCTGGAAACTGATCTGCTTGACCCTCATACGTCGAATCTCAACGGGAGAGTCGATTATATTAAATTGATAAAAATATAAACTTTGTTACTTACCAGCTTGTTACCTTCAGCATCCCGACTCTAGAATTTTGTAGACAGACATTCCAGCAATCGCTACATCCACACGTCAGGTGATATCAGCAATATAAATCCCTGCCGTGCGCCAATGGCTTAGGGATAAGCTCTTCAACTGATACCAAATCAGTCGGGCTTCGATCCTGGCTTGAGGCAATCGGATGTCTAGCAACATTGCTGAGCTGTGAAACAGCGAAACAGTCTGTGAATGACAATATATACATGGTCCTGAAAAAAATAATTTCGGTTGAGCTCTTCGGGAAGAGAAGTGAATTTGTAAAAAAGTGACAATTACTGCTTCTGATGCAAGACACCTCGTGGCGTGTTTGCCTAAAAAGTAAATACGTCTAAATATGGTAAAATGTCCGACTGGCTTTCGATGCCGGTTTGCAGCAATCAGATCAACACTGATGAGCTGTGAAAACGCAAAACAGTCGGTCTGTGGATGACACTATATATATATATATATATATATATATATATATATATATATATATATATATATATATAGGGGTTGAAACTAGTTAAAAATTGCATAAAAAAGTATAACTAAGATCTCAATTCTGTGCAAAAGTAGAATCCCACAGACATCACCCCAATTCTATGCAAAAATAGGATCACAGAGGAATAACAAATTAAAATTTTCATATTAGCATTTATTGAACAGTCAGCGAGGTTGCTTAAGACGCAGCTCAAAAGCTTTGAAAACGCAGACAACCATTTTTGCGCGGTATGCTCAAAAATTGAAAACTCACATACAGGAAAATGATTAACAATTTTTTCCTTCCTAAACATCAACATTAAAAACTGGGAAATATATTTATTAGCCAATAAAACGTCTAAATTTAATAAATCTATCATTTAACTTCCTGTGATCCGAACGTTTCCTTATTTTTCATGTTTTATATACATTATATATATATATATATATATATATATATATATATATATATATATATATATACTATCGATCCAAGTGGATTATTTGTAGAACCCAGTTAAAAATGGTAGAAAAAAATCAATAGATTTTGGTTGTATAACTAAGACCTCAATTCTGTGCAAAAGTAGAATAAAACGAAAATTTCCACATTACCATTTATTGACCAATCACTGAGGTTGCTTCGGACGCATCTCGGGAGCTTTGAAAAAGCAGACGAAAATTTTTGTTTCATATATTTAAAAAAAAAAAAAAAGACGTTGTTTAAGACTTATTTCAAAAGCTTTGAAAAATCAGACGACATTTTCTTTGCGTCCTAAAAGTCAATATTAAAAATTTGGAAATATATTTATTAACCAATAAACCTTCTAAATTTAATAAATCTATCATTTACCGTCCTGTAATCCGAAATATTACTATAAATAGCGTAACTTAAATAAAATAGCCTTCAGTATTTTTTGGCCGTCATGTGAATAATAATGATTTCTCAACTTTCGACTCCACAAAAATCAATGATTAAGTGCTTAAGTTCCTTTTGTAAAATTATTACTGGTTTTAAAAGAATTTTCAGAAACCAGTTTGCACGGTTTATATTACGAAAACACCAAGCGACAAAAAAACAAAAGACGACATGTTTCGGGCTTGGTTGTCATAACCCGTATTTGCACTGATACATAGCTGATTGACTAAAAGCTTCTCCTGCTATATTTACGCTACGCACGCATAGCAGAGCGTAGATTTTGAATTTTCACGTGATAATGACACACATACGCTACTCTCTATACAATTCATTTCTTCTTTTGTGTTGAAAAAAGATCCGTATGGACCTTGCTTGCTTTTATTTTGCTAAACATAATTCTACATAATTCTACGAAAAAACTGAATGAGGAACTTTATAATCTTATTTCTTTCAGCTTAAAAGAAAACAAAACTGATTTGACACTCAATGATTATTTGTTTAATTTGTAGAGATGTGTTTGAAGATTATTTCTTTTCTTCGCTTTTTATACACTCTACCTCTCTACATATGTATAACATAACATGTTATTTTTAGTGTTTGAAACAGACGCCTCGTTTTTCTTTTAAACAGTGTGTATTACTCCTAACGGCCTGCACACTCGAGAAATCTTAACAAAGAAAATTTGCTCTCCGGTAGGGTGCAAACTTACGCCCCCTTTGTAAGAGAAACCACTGATTGATTCGACAAGTTTTAGACTGCTCGACCACAGGGAGCGTCACAACAAAATTAATGTTCTAATTTAACTTCAAAAGTTCAAGTCATGTAACAATGGAAACATCATAACATATACTAAAAAATACTGTTCACGATCTCCTTCGAATAAATACAATTTAGGTGATGGTAGCTGAGTAATGCTCAAAAGGGAAGCGGCAAAAATCCGTATTAAATTCGTTTTATGGGCACTATTCAAATTCTCTGTGCATAAATTTCTGCGTGTGAATAATTCGTGCCAAAGTGCGCCGTTACATGTCAGAGCGTCTCTTGTTGCACACGTGTAATGTGCATTAACGTCAGCCATTGACATCCATCTGACGTCATAGCTAACCCCTGACCAGTATGACGTCAGCGGCATTTATCAGGCTTGCCTTTCGCCAAATCGAGACACGCCTGACCAAGATGCACAACGCTGATAAATCCAAACATGTCATAGCTGTAAATATAATTATATTCATTTGCACAACGGTTGCCATACACAGACAAGAACATGCAATGGGGGTAGGGTGGGGTGTTGCTGGAGGTTGCATGCAATCCCGCAAATACAGACGTGATTATTAGGCGAAGTGAAAGGCTCCCCCCATTCTCCACAGGGTCAGGTTGCTGCAAAAGTGTTCCGGATGCGGTGGAGGAGGGGAACAAACTGTAAGAATCTATTTATCTATCTGTTCATCCAGCTATCAATCTAACACCTTTCATGTCTGTCTGTCTGGTCTATATAACTACCCCCGCAGTATCTATCTGTCTGTCTTATATCTTTCATATATGCATGGCTGTCTGGCTGTCTTTCGAGCTAATGTTTTAACATCTATCTATCTATCTATCTATCAAATGCCTGTCTGCCTATCTATCTATTTTTTTCGTGTCTGGCTCTCTGTTTGTGCATCTACCGAGCCAATATTTTTCATATCTATCTATCTATCTATCTATCTATCTATCTATCTATCTATCTATCTATCTAAGCCTGTTCTTATCAGTCTATCGACCTATCTATCCTAAATCCGTTCATATATATCTATCTATCTATTGCATGAAATGCATTACACTGATAGATGCATTTCTAGCCATCTACTCAAGCAGTGACTCCCATGACTATCTATCTATCTATCTATCTATCTATCATGTCTTTCATGTATGTACGTGTACTCACGAAATGCTTTTCATATTTATCTATTTTTTTAGTTTTTCATATCTATTCATCTAATTTACTATATATATATAAAAAACGTCGAAGAATTCCAGTAAGATATCTTTAATCATTTCTAAATACAACGGTTCAAAGCTTAATCTAACAATTTTGCACGATTTGGACAATATTGCTGTTACACCCGGTATATAGGTATGTTACAGACAAATCACTGTGATTAATATTGGTATTATTTATCCCAGTACTACCGGTCGCGACTAAGCCGGTTCCCCCACCAGTCTTTTCTGCTGGGGGGTGGAGAGTGGCTAGACACACAGCTGGATTAAAAACACTACCTGTTAAAGAGCAGACGAGTACATCTACGGGATCAACAGCCATCTGGCACGGGCAGGGGGTTTAGAAATACTTGGTAGGGGGTAATTCCACTGGCAGTCTTGGATCTCTCAGCCTTCTTGAAGACAACCAGCTAGGAGAAGGAAATAAATTCTGATTTAATACCTGTGGCTTAACAGCATCCAATGATGTTGACTGGTTCTTCTTTCTCGGTGTATGAAGTACTTGCACATGGAGGGCGACTGACCCAGTCTTTGCAGACTCACGCACAGGCATTTCTTAATATCCTAAATCACAATTGCAATCAGTCCTGGGTATGACGATAAACTACATCCGCATCCTGGGTAAGACGATAAACTATGTCCAGCAGCAAGGCCTCTGATCAAGAGGTTTTGAGGAGCGTTGAACCACCTCTTAATAACTGGTGTTCCCAGGTCCATCTTGACCCGGGGTGGTAGCACCTGTTAGGGTTCCAGCTATGGGCAAATAGTTAACCCCGAAACTGGGGTAAAAATAGGTTTTAATACCAGGAATACGTTGTAAAAAAAAATTAAGAAAAATTATTATCAGCAATACATTTTTGAAGAAAAAAAAACTATTACCAGCAATACATTTTTGAAAATAAAAAAAATTACCAACAATACGTTTTTGAAAAAATATTACCAGCAATACTTTTTTGAAGGAATAATTATTACCAAAAATAGATTTTTGACAAAAACAAAATATTACCAGCAATAAAAACTTTCTCGGCATTAAATAACACACTGAAGTTGATATTGTGACAGAGAATTTAGGAAACAAACACACACACACACACACACACGTATATTTTTTTTTTAGTGAAATTGGAATAGATTTGAATAGTGAAATTAAATCAGAGCATTTTGTTTACTGATGTGGAAATTTGATCTAGGGCAGAAGTTGTACCCATTGAATCTAGGTCATCGTTAGACAATGGAAATGGTCGAAATAATTTTCATCCATTAAAAATTGAAATAGAGCTGAGTAAGCTAGAAGGAACTTTGGAATTCACATGATTTTGGTTGAAGCAGCCAGAACCCCCGTGATAATCAAGTGCGAAGTAGTAGGGCCAAAGGGTCAGTTGTAATCAGCCTGGTTTATCTATATAAACGCGTAGTTATGCTGAAAAAGTGAGACGGGCGAGCGTTGAGACGGAAGAGAGAGACGGAAGAGAGAAACGGAAGAGACAGACGGAAGAGAGAGACGGAAGAGAGAGACGGAAGAGGCAGACGGAAGAGAGAAACGGAAGAGGCAGACGGAAGATGCAGGCGGAAGAGAATTAGCCCGGGCAAGAGTTGGGCTAGAGACAGTGGAGAGTCGAGTTGGAGACTCAAGTAAAAGAGAACGTGACGTCAGAGATTGGAACGAAGCGTCCGCTAACATGTACTGTTGATATAAGTACCGCTGCTTCTGCTACCACGAATATTACTACTACTGTTACTCCTGCTAAGGAGGAACGCCACTATAAACTTTAAGCCGCGCACAGAAATCTTATTCCCCCATCGCAAGAGTCGTATATCGTTCTGAGACGATTTAACGACAAGTTAATCATAACACACTCTCTCTCTGTCCAGAATCCTGTGTATGCATTTTTACGTCAATTACTTTTCTTTTCTGTAACCCGTTTCTTTTCTATACTATTCTTTTCTGCTATATAAAAGACATTAACAATTCAATCATTGAATAGTTGGTTGTCGGGCTTTCTGCAGATATTATTTTTTTTGTCTCATTCTAAATTTCAAGGCACAGACTCTCCAGCCGTGTCCACATCTTCAGTCGACAGTGAATGGACAGACATCACTTCTGCTTTCAGGATCAAACCAAACACAACGTGGGCAGGAAGCAGAATTAAACCAGTGGACCGGTCGAATAATCTACAGACGCTCAGGGGACCTACGGCCACTCCCTTAAGTTCGGTTAGGACTGAGTAGACACCTCAGCCCAAAGTAAGACGTCGGAGGTTGAGGGGCTGGGGCGAAAGTGTTAGAATATGCCGTAAAACACAACAAAGCAAATCAACCAATTGCAATGACATCTTACGATGGTCATACTCGACAACAATATAGAGGCCATCATGCATATATATATATATATATATATATATGATTGGTTGATGCTAATATACAGGGCGCGATGGATAAATTGTCATCTAAATTATGCAAAAACGAAAACAACACTTAACATCTCATTTTAACAGATATATTTACCAAAATTACGCAAAAATATCTTGAAATACTAAAGAATAAATTTGTTCAATAAAATCGCTCTTGGCTTCAACCGCGGCCTCCAAGCGACAAAAGAATCTCCTCCATCTCTTCTGGACGGTCTCCTTATTTAAGTTGGTGAATGTTGCCACAATCCTTGCCTTCAGTTCATCTTTCATGTTATAAAGAGTTTTGTTGGTCATTCACTCAACTGCGCCCCACACGTAATAATGAAGGGTGAGTTAGGTGACCACATATAAGGGGTGATGTGGTCACAGAAATTATCTAACGGCCATGAACTGGTTCTCTTACTTGTGTGGCATCATGCAGTTCCTGTTGCTAGACATAGGGTCTTGACCCGGGAAAGTACTACCTCCTCAAGTCAATCGATGTAGTCCTTTGTGTTGATTTTGAGGCCCTGTGGGAAGATGAAAGGAGGCATAACGTCGCCATCATTAGTGATCACTCCAAACACAATGTTGTTGACTGGATATATTATCCAACTCTTTCTGAATCCTCTGCACTGTCCTCAGATTGACACCCAAACACACTGAGATGTTCATAGTAGAGTTTCCGGCGTGAATGCCAAGGAGTACGCCATACGTTTCCAAATTTTGGGCGGTGTGAATTGCATCATGGTGCTTTTTTTCTCACAGACGGTGCGCAACTGAACCTACTATATTGCGCAGTCGACAACGGAAAAGAATAGGTCTATGTAGAGGAAGATATGAAAAGAGGTAAATATGTATGAGCATAGATTTATAGTCTAGATTGAGAAAGCTAGCTAAACACATATTTTTGAACAGGAGTAGAGGTTTGTTTCATGTTTAGGATTGGGTTTCCGGTTCGTTTTAGAATCTACTTCAGCTTTTGTCCTTTCTCTCGCTAATACAACTCTACACAGTAACCCTCTACCTTGAGTGACTCTTGGGCTATGTAGTGAGTTTCAGCAGAAAGAAAAATATACATATATAATTTTTTTTGTAAAAATATCAATAAGAACACCGGATTATATATCTTACTGTTCTTTCTTTATATATATATATATATATATATATATATAGTAAATTAGATGAATAGATATGAAAAACTAAAAAAATAGATAAATATGAAAAGCATTTCGTGAGTACACGTACATACATGAAAGACATGATAGATAGATAGATAGATAGATAGATAGATAGATAGATAGATAGTCATGGGAGTCACTGCTTGAGTAGATGGCTAGAAATGCATCTATCAGTGTAATGCATTTCATGCAATAGATAGATAGATATATATGAACGGATTTAGGATAGATAGGTCGATAGACTGATAAGAACAGGCTTAGATAGATAGATAGATAGATGGATAGATAGATAGATAGATAACGGTTGAACTCTCTGCCTTCGGGCGGGGAGGAACCCGAAGGAGGCTATGCCGAAGGGCGGATTCTCTTTCGGGGAGGTAAACCGACCCTGAACCCGTTTATACGGGTTCAATGGGCATATTTTTGGCCGAGCCCACGGGCTCGGAGATCCCACGTTAAACCGGCCTTGTGCCACATGACGCCCTCGTGGTGGGGTGACTGAATATCGTCAGTAGTTCAAGTAGAGTCAAGAGTCGAGTCAGAGGCAGTCCGAAACAGAGTCGCGTTCAGACAATTACTGCAAGACATTGGAATAGTGATACTGGTCGAGACTACATTGTTCTCTCTACTAAACCTGATTGTTCATACTGACACTTCTACTTCTCTGTATATATTCCTGTTTGTAATATATCTGTGTTATTCCATATCCGTGTTCGAGTTCTTCTTTATTGGTTCTACCTTGGACTATCACCGTGGTACAAGGAACCGGACCATAACAAATATATAATTACTCTCCAAGCTTAACAGGAAAATCATGATGAAATCGATCATAAACGAAAATATGTTCTTCATTAATTAATCATAGTTAAAGATCGGAAGCTCATGATGGATTGAAATTAAGTTCATATATATATATATATATATATATATATATATGTGTGTGTGTGTGTGTGTGTGTGTGTGTGTGTGTGTGTGTGTATTATTCCAGGATCATTTTCCAACTTATTCAAAGTGGTCTTCACCCTCTCTAACCTTCTGTCTTGGAGTAACAATATGCCTCAGAGGTTTTATGTGCGATTTCATTTTTAAGTCTTTTTTAACTGCGCTTTAAACTGTCATAGCTGAAACTGCTCTCCCACGTGCCAAACGTCTTTCTTATGAATTAAGTTGGATCTTTTCTAATTGATCTTTTTAGCTCTGAGTTGAAATGATGATCCCTCTTACTGTTGTGGCCTCCTGTATCAGTTTTCCTCTCTCTTTTTTAAACTTATTCACCATTCTCTTGATGGTTCTTGAATGAACTTTGAAGATGGAAGCCAGAATATGAATTTTGGTACCATTACTGAAGGCCTGAATGATCTTTTTACTCTCACCATTGCTTATTTTGGAAGACACAAAAAGATTTTAACCTGTTCATTTTCTAGCTGAAT